AAGTTACCGATAGACGAAGACGAAAGAGGGGATGCCTTCCCGGGGCATCCCCAAGATTAGGCCCTTTGGCCTCCTTTAATATTACCTTGGGGTGCCTTGGGAATCCCCAAGCTTAGGCTCTTGCCACTCCTTATTCCATAGTCTATCAAATCCTTACCCAAAACTTAAAAACTTCACAACACAAAACTTCAATAGAAAATCTTGTAAGCTTCGTTAGTATAAGAAAATAAATCATCACTTTTGGTACTATTGTGAACTCATTCTTTATTTATATTGATGTAATATCTATTGTATTCCAACTTTTCCATGGTTCATACCCCCCGATACTAGCCATAGATTCATCAAAATAAGCAAACAACACGCGAAAAACAGAATATGTCAAAAACAGAATGGTCCTTAGTAATCTGGATATTTCGAATACTTCTGTAACTCCAAAAATCCTAAGAAGTTAGGAAGTCCTAGACACTTTGTTTATTAATCTTCTGCAAAAATAATCAGTATTTTATCGCGCGCTTTTGTTAAAAATGCAAACTAATCTCCTAGGCGCAAAAGTTAATGCTTTTCAGCAGGATCAAATCAACTATCACCGTAAGCTGTCCCAAAGGTCTTACTTGGCACAAACACTAATTAAAACATAAAACCACATCTAAAAAGAGGCTAGAAGAATTATTTATTGCAAAATAGAACATAAAAAGCAAAAAACAAAAATAAAATTGGGTTGCCTCCCAACAAGCGCTATTGTTTAACGCCCCTAGCTAGGCAAATAGATCTAAGTATTCTCATCTTCGGTATGCAATTCTTCAATTATAATCTTGGGGGATTCTTTAGTTTTATAAAAGGTCAAACTCCTAGGCAAGAAATCAAGAAATTCATTCGTGACAATAGGTTCCTTAATAATATCAAGAAAATCGGGGTGAACACTAATTGATTTGAGATCTTCATTGTTTTTACTAGAAGATTCACCCTTATTTTTTGGATCATACGCAAGCTTAGCAGTCTTAGGAGGAAGATTTGGAGTAGTTTTAACGGAGGAAAAGACGGAACCCAAGTTGGTAATAATATCTTCTAGTTTGCCAATTCTAGCAAAGTCTTGATCTATCTTTTCATTAACTATGGGTTCCTTTTCCTTAAGGTTCTTTAGAGTAACTACTACCTTAGATCCATATTGAGTAATCTGCTTATGAATCTTTTTATCCAAATTTTCAATCAACTCTACAGTAGCAATTTTATTTTCAATAATATCCAATCTTTGCATTACATGTTCCAAGGTTAAAACAGTTCCATTAACCAAAAGAGGTGGTGGGCCTAGCAAATCTATCATGGCATTGTAAGAGTCGAAAGTATGGCTCCCCAAGAAATTCCCCCCAGTAATGGTATCTAGAACATATCTTTTCCGAGGAGTAATGCCTACATAGAAATTGCGAAGAAGAACGGAAGTAGATTGCTTTTGAATAGATCTATTTTGAGCATTGCAAATTCTATACCAAGCATCTTTTAAATTCTATCCTTCCCTTTGTTTAAAGTTGAGAACCTCATTATTGGGAGTGTTAACAAGGATGGGAGGATTAGCCATGGGAGCAAAAAAGGCAGAAAGAGAAGACGAACGGAAGAAGAGCGAAGAAAAGGCGAATCTTTTCGAAAATTGTTTTAGAAGTGGGGAAGAGGAAAACGAGAGGCAAATGACGAATAATGTATGCGAGGGATGAGAGTTTATGATGGGTACTTGGCATGTCTCGTCTTGGCGTAGATCTTCCCGGCAACGGCGCCAGAAATTCTTCCTGGTACCTTTTGAGTTCGCGTTGGTTTTTCCCTTAAAGACGAAAGGGTGATGCAGCAAAGTAGAGTAAGTATTTTCCCCAGTTTTAAGAACCAAGGTATCAATCCAGTAGGAGACAACATGACAAGCCACCGAATATCTGCACAAACAAACACCAACTTGCACCCAACATGATAAATGGGTTGACAATCCCTTCACGGTTATTTGCAAAGTGAGATCTGATAGAGATGGATAAACGGTAAAGTAATATTTTTGGTTTATAAAATGGAAAGTAAAAGATTGCAAAGAAAGTAAATCGGAAACTAAAATCATAGATCGGAAACTTATATGATGGAAAATAGACCCGGGGCCATAGGTTTCACTAGAGGCTTCTCTCAAGATAAAAAATATTACAGTAAGTGAACAAATTACTGCCGAGCAATTGATAGAAAAGCGCAAAGTTATGACGATATCTAAGGCAATGATCATGAATATAGGCATCATGTCCGTGTCAAGTAGACCGAAACGATTCTGCATCTACTACTATTACTCCACACATTGACCGCTATCCAGCATGCATCTAGAGTATTAAGTTCATAAAGAACGGAGTAATGCCTTAAGCAAGATGACATGATGTAGAGGAATTAACTCAAACAATATGATGAAAACCCCATCTTTTTATCCTCAATGGCAATAATACAATACGTGTCGGTTCCCCTTCTGTCACTAGGATCGAGCACCGCAAGATTGAACCCCAAACTAAGCACTTCTCCCACTGCAAGAAAAACCAATCTAGTTGGCCAAACCAAATCGATAGTTCGAAGAGACATGTACACCTTGTGTCTTTTGTTAGCCACATTTTAGATTAAGCAACGTCGAGGACGGCTTTGTTTTCAAGAAGGGGAGAATGATGAGGACATGACTATCTTAGCTATGACCAAAAATATTATATACATATATATTTGTGAGGTGATTTATAATGCAAACTATGCAATAATTTATTTATGTCATCCAGGACAAAATTACTTCACAAACTTTTGTGTCATGTCTAATTGCAGGTGTATGGGACATTTGTACAATCCACATATGACGGTAAGGGCAAGAAGAGAAGTTTATGTGTTGTTCAAAAAGTCCTCTCACGTTACTTTTAGGCTAATAGAAGATAGAGTCCAAGTCTCTCACGTTCTGAACTCAGATTCGGACTGCACAAACATACCTGACTCAAAACGGCAAGAACTCTTTCATACGGACTCTGAATTGGATGATTCACTGTTTGTTGGTAATTAGATTTCGTGCTCTTTCCAACCCAATTGGATTCACCTTTTCAAATTCGTCCAGAGCGTTGAGTTATCGACGAAACAATCTGACGCTGCAGCAGAATCCGGGTCAAACTACAAGTCCAAAGGTGTTGCATCACCTCCACTTGGGCCCATGGACCTTGTACGACCTAGGGTTAGTTTTAGGCTGACTTGGGACGTCCTCCCACCTCCTTGGCCGCCACCCTTTGCTACTATATAAGTAGATCCATCTAGTAGCTTTTTGCTTGGGCTTTTTTAGATTAAAAGTTCGCCATAGCTGCAACTTCGCGTACTTCGTTTGTGTCCAACAAACAGACCAAGACGTCACAGAACCCCACCTTCATTAATAAAGCTTTCCTCTTATATTCGCGATATCAAGATTGCAATTTCAGTTTCTTACTTGTTCTTCGTTTGCTTACAGGAAATAAATTTTCGTGGTCAGGTTGATTGTGCTCTGGCGTGGTCAATAACCTTTTGAAATTGGTTTAGCGATTACTAAGACGCGACATCCTCGCACGTTCATAGTCGGATTGCCAAAGTCTACTCCATCAAAATGACAGCCGCCATCTCATCTAAAGACATGACACCTTTGCCTCTATCATCATATTTGCTTTCCGATCTACTATTTACCACTTTTATTTTCAGATCTATTATTTCAAAATTCAAAAATACATTGCTGCAATTTTTTGTTATTTATTTTATTTCACGTTTCCGTGAGATCTATTTATCCAATCTACTACAAACTAATTTATGTTTTACCTGAGAGGGATTGACAACCCCCTTTACACGTCGGGTTGCAAGTATCTATTCTTTGTGTGCAGGTACCGTTTACATAATGTTGCTTGGTTCTCCTATCGATTTGATAATCTTGGTCTTATTACTGAGAAAAATATCTACCGTAGCTGTGCTGCATCATCCCTTTCTCTTCGATAAAAATATTGACGCGGATAGCTATCAGGCCCTTGCTTGTTAGTGTAAAAGTCCACCGAGCCTCGGGCTAGGCCTCTTCTTTAATCGCTAATAGGACGGGCTCGGGTCAGATTCGGCCTTCGAACTCAAAATTTAGGCCCAGGCATGACCCGTGGACAAGGTCAGGTCGGGCCATCCGGGCCAGGCTACCCATGGCCAGTATAATTGGGGATAACCGGAACTTCGAAAATAAAGGATATACTATGCCGATGTTCACTTACTTTCTTGAAGGGGAAGCACGCAAGCTAGTTTCACATATTCTCTCTTCGAAACTACGCCACAAAGCCTATCCTACAGTACTCGTAGCCATACTGTAGCCAAACATTTTACCACTCGCCCACTGGTACTGCATAGGAGCCGCTCGCCCACCGCTACATTTTCTGCTCTCTTCTGGATAAGCCAAGCCCCACCTCTTTCGCTTCCATTTTCCACCCCCAGACAATAAATATACTTGGTCACTTATCTCTATAAAGTTGCGCTCGTGTTTCCCCTAAAAAAAGGGTTGCGCTCGTGCTCGATTCCGAGGAACGGCCGTTGCTGTTGGTAAGGCGATCTCCGGTCTCCCCCCGATTTAACCCTTATTTTGATGTGATCCGTGGTCTGATCGCCGTGATTCTTTTCCCGTTTTTGCTGGCTATTTCCGGGATTTCCTGTTCGTTTTCTGATTTCCCTTCGCGTTGGTTTGTACATCTTTGGGGATTTTGGTCTCGTCGGGTGATTGTTTCTGGCTCGAGCATCAATTTTGGTCGGTTCTTGCTTGTTGCTTGCGTGTAGAAATGGACTTTGATTCGTTACTTACTTTTGGATTAGTGCGGTTATTTTATGAGTCAATTGTGGCGCAAAATTGGCAAAATTGGCAAATATACACTATAAGAAAGAGGAAAAAAAAATCTCCAGTGGCTTATATAATTGATTGGTCAACTTCAATGTTGTTTCTTCTATTTTGTCTACGCAGGCGCCAAGACTTACCTTCTGATATGATCTTCTGTAAGGAGTTATCCTGCTAATATGGGTGTCGGATTGTGTGCGTACTGCAATTAGCATGGAAATTACAGTAATGATAAAATATTTACGGATTTCTAATGCTGCTGTGGCAATCAGCAGTGATTAATTATGCTGGAAGCTTCAAGAAAACGATGAAGATTATGTTAATGCCACTGTGCTAGATTAATTTACAGAGCTGATTGTTAAATCTATAAACATACTGTACTAGATTAATTTTCTTACTAGCATTTCACTGCTATTATTTCTTAGAAGGTGCAGAAATAATTTCCCATTTGATTTTCCATTTAGGCTAGGTCTCCCATTCTGATCAAACTTATTAATCATTTTAACTTTTATTATGTAGGCACATTGATGGCAATGGAGGGACCAATTCTTTGTCGCCCTATAATGCAAGCAAGGCTTCCTGCTGCCCTTGTCAACAACTCATTGATCAAATCTGGGCAGCTTGGCACTGCATTCTTGGGTGCTGTGTCTAAATACCGCAACATTACTAGACTAGTTTCTCCAATCTCTCAGTCATCTTCAAAGAACTTTGGTCCTATTTGTCGTAGCTTCAGCTCCTCATCTGATGGTAATGGATACATGGCTGGAAACTTCAATGAGAATGATGAAGATTATGTTAATTCCACTGTGCTTGAAGCTGGTAATCTCTTTGCGCCATGGTGGTTTGAATATTTTCTGTATCATATATGTTCAAGAATTACATCAGCTTAAATCTGTTTGCACTTAGATTACTTTTATTATCTCACTAATTATGCAAGATTTGTAATTTTTCTGGTGCATCACTAGAGCATTACTGGCGTTAAATTTTAAGTATTATTCTTATTATTACAAGTTCCATTTCTGTGCTCATTTTTTTCCTTATTAAGGGCACAATACATGATTTGTATACTCAAACTTAGGGAAAAGAATACTGTGTAGAAAGGAGGGTTTTCCACTTGAGCTCCCACGTTGGATTGTGGCAGTGTCTCAGGGATAGTTTTGCTAGTATTGATCTAAAGCAAAGGTAGATATAGTGGAGAAAAGGAAGTCTTTTGAGGGCTCCGGAGTTTGACCTTTAAGCACATGGAGCAAAAGACTCAGCTTAGCAATCTCATTCACCTTTTGATAGTATGGGCATACTTATGGACACAATGTGATTTTGGATCACTAAAATATAGAATTAAGTCCTTGCTTCACCAAGTCTTCGCGCAAATTTGTGTGGGCCATCTTTCATCTCCTTTGTTGCAACCTAATGGAACTTTCTTGAGATAAGCTAGTTAAAGCATTAGTTCTTTGAGATATTTGACATTAATTACCAAAATCCACCAAGGGCATTAGTTGCACTTTCAGTTGACGGTGAGGAGGAGTGTTGCCACTAGACCCCTTACCGCCCAAACAATGGTCCCAACCACCGCCTCCCCGGGGATGATGACGACGAGTCTGGCGCCTCCTTGGATGACGACGACGAGTCTGACGCTTCCTCGGATGATGACGGCCACGACTACGTAGCGCCGTCTGAGCGGGTAGCAGGACTGTAGGTGCAGGCGGTAGCCGTGGTTCCTCCTGCCCCTGCCCCCCTAGTCGACACGGGTGCCTACCTCCCTTAGTGCGCAGGCTACCTCGCTGCTTAGGGCCGTGATCACCTCCTCACCGACCTCACCTCCACCCTCTCTTTATCTGAGGACAAAGTAGGGGAGGACTCTACGGGATGGAGATCTGCCCTCCTTCGTCGCCCCGCTTGCCTGGCGTGGTGTCCTACTTCCGCTTGCTTGTCCCCGGGTCACCGACACTGGTCCTTGTGAATCTCCGCGTGCCCTGAAGCTGGTCATGGTCTACCTCGCCACCTCCGTGGCTCGCCGCACTCCTCACCAGCCTCCCGTCAGAGCGACTGGCCGGTGCGCTCCAGGGCGGGAGCGGAGGTAACGGAGCCCACCGCCGCTCAGCGTGCGGAACAGCATATTGCGGCACTCAACCTGGATCCAGCAGTGACAGCCGCTCTGTAGGTGGGGGGACAGGGACCGGCTAGGTGGCCTGCTGGATGGTCTTCAGATGGTCGGCCGTCAGCTCTCTGCATCCCCTAGCAACTGACACCTTTTCCAGAGGCGTCTTCTATCGCTTTGGTGTTTCGCTTTTGGGCATGTTTGTGTTGTTGCCGTAGCAGAATTATTATTTACTTTCCTCATACATGGATAACTTGCTGTATGGACTTGGCTGGTGCTTTATCTATAAACGGGGCAAAAGCCTAATTTCGAGATATTTAGGGAAGTAGAAGCAATCGTGCAGGGAGTAATAGGATACATCATATTTGTATCACATGATAAATGCTGGAAATATATTCCCAGATTTAGTTACACTTACAGAATAATGAACAGATAGGTGCCCATCAACTAACTAATTTTTTAACAGCAATATATTGGATGTGTTTGTTCTTCAGTAATTGTTAGTGAAGCATGTGTTTTGTGTTTTCTTTTCCAGTTGAGGTCAGAAGTGGATCAGAAGGATATATAGTAAAGATGCGAGATGGGAAAAACCTGCGGTGTGTGCATAATAATTCTCAAGGGAGAGAGATTCCAGAGAGTGCACCACAACCTGCTATCGTTTTGAGAATTGAAGATGGAAGTGGAACTTTACTTCCAATCATTGTTTGTATGTACAACTTCCTATTCTCTTTGGAAGTTTGAAATCAGAATATCTCTTTGATTATAATACATGCCAATGTACTTTTTTCAGTGGAGATGCCAAGTGTACTTCTGATGGCTGCTATTCGCCATGTTCATATTGTAATACCCTATTTTATTTCTACAGTTCACGCCCATTTCTTTTGATTCATAAAGTCAGTAACCCTTTCTTGTTTTAGGCAAGACCTACCATATATCAAGTTGTTAAGGAACTGATCGATAAGATGGGCTATGAGGTATTGGAATGCTCTGGATCGCGATCAGTTCAGAAACCATAACTCATTAATTTATTCCTTCTCTCATGTTGTGGCTGTTTCCAGGTAAAACTTGTTCGGGTAAACAAAAGAATTCAAGAAGCATACTGTGCCGAGCTTTATCTAACAAAGGTACTCGAGTAATTGAGTAAATTGCTAGGAAGGAAACTGAACATCGTGTTCAGTGGGTACAGTAATATCATAATTGTTCTGAAGTGAAAACTGCCTGTACTGCAGATTGGAGATCAAACAGAGAGTATAACATTTGATCTTCGGCCTTCGGATGCTATCAATATTGCTGTTCGCTGCAAGGTATTATTTTAATGTTGAAGGTTCATTTTTGTATCTAATAGCTCTGGCACTAGATGATGACATTCTTCTCCGTTTCTCTTTCTGTTGCTGCAGTTTCTCTTCATTTCTAAGTTGATTCTTCTCCTTTTAAGGCTTAATGATTTAGCGTCTTTTCTAATATTCTAGATGAGTTTAGAACGTAGCTGCAAGCTCACAAGGTTACTAGCATTAGCAAAATGGATCACTAGTAGTAATTTTTTTTATACACGTGAACCAGGGGTAATCATGTCATGCTTTCCATAGTTCAGACACCAAATGTGAGGATAATTGTAGAATTACGTTCATAGCGAATATGATCTAAAGCCCATCTTATCTTATTATGGAGTGCATCACATATATTTATGTCGTTGCTCTTGACAAAAACAGGTTCCTATACAAGTACATAGGAGTCTTGCATACAGCGACGGCATAAGATCAGTCGAGCCAGCAAAATTGGTGGCTGCAGGTGGCCTTTCAGATGGTTTATTGTTTACTGAACTTGACAGGTATCTCTTTTATGGACCTATGTTGTTGTGGCCTGAGTGCACAAACCAATTGTGACAGCAGTTTGTTCTACATACCTCGATCCTTGCATTAATTTGTTTGGTTTTCCCGGCAATAAAAAATGTATGTGAATTGTAATAAGAATGAGAATGAGTGTTGTCAGTCGGACCTTTCCGAAAACGAGTTAGACACAGTAACTTATGGTTGAAGGGTCGATTATGAGTTGATAATTTGTTCTTCCATTCAAAATTGTGTTTCGTTGTCAAAAAAGTTCAATCTGTGTATAATTTATTGTTCAAAAGCTCATCCATCTTCCTGCATGTTAGTCTCCTTACACTAAGCTTTTTGTCAGACCTGATGGAGAGCCCTGCGTTGAAGCTCAAGAGTTCAGTTTGGTGCGAAACATGTTCATTGCAGTTGTTGAAGAGAGATACAAAGATGCAGGTAACGATTGTGTTTTGATGGCCTTATTTTGATGCATCAATGCACTAGAAACAATGGATGATACTCCCTCTGTAAAGAAATATAAGAGCATTTAGATCTCTTTTGGCTCTTTGATAAGGATTTCATATAGTTCTGTGTTCTCAAGATGTTTTGAAACATATTTTTTCTGCTGGAAGGTGAGGATTGTCGTGAACTGTAAAACTTTTTTTTTGAAACAAGGCAAAAGATTTGCCATTTTCATTGATTAAGAGAGAAGTTTTAACAGGTACCCGCAAGGCGGGGGAAAGGAGTCTACTCTCGCGGCATTACATTACACAGGTGTCTAGCGCCTGCAATCGCCCAAATACGAGCCTCCTCCTTTATCCTAGCAGTGACCATGGTCACTGTGGTAGCGACATTCCTAAAAACTCTTGCATTGCGCTCATTCCAGAGTTCCCAGGAAACAAGCCAGAGCCTTCCTCGGGGGCCCCCTATCTAGGATAGTCTTGAACCACCATTCCTTTACAGAAATTTCGTTACACCAGCCTGCAGTGATAGCACTGTTTACGCCGATCCATGAAGCCACATTAGCCCAAACGCGTTGGGAAAATCTGCATTGGAATAGGAGATGGGGTGCAGATTCAGTAACTTGCTTGCATAAAGGGCAAAGCCCATAATTGGGCCAGCCCCGACGCTGGAGCCTGTCCGCTGTCCAAACACGATTCTGGATGACGAGCCAAGCAAAAAACTTGCACTTGGGAGGCGCCCAAGCTTTCCAAACGGACATGTTCATGTTGCTCCTGAGATGGCCCTCGAACTCCGCCATGTAGGCCGAAGAAGCAGAATAATCGCCACTTGTAGTGAGCTTCCATAGGATAGTATCACGGACTCCCGCAACAAGGTTGATCCCAGACACCCTTTCCCAAAGGAGGGCGAACTCCTGGATGTGCCCCAAGGATAGGCCATGCTGGGTGTTTATTTGGCTGACCCAAAAATTGTTCAGGAGTGCCTTTTGGACTGTGCACGTCTTTTTCTTAGAGATGTCGTAGAGAGCGGGTGCAATGTCTTTCGGCCTGATCCCATCTAGCCAAGAGGAGTTCCAGAAGCTCGCGCTGCAACCGTCTCCGATGTGAACCATGGTGGCAGCCGCGAAAATGTCTCTGTCCTTGTCAGTACATGGGGTTCCAGAGCCTAGCCAAAGCTTGGTGGGGTCTGCCCATTCATACCAAAGCCAACGAAGACGCAAGGCGGTGGCAAATTTCTCGAGGTTGAGCACTCCTAGCCCACCATAAATCCTTGGCTTACGCACAAGTTCCCAATTGACTTTGCATTTTCCTCCCATGACCTTGTCACAACCTGCCCACAGATATGCGCGTCTCAAACTATCGATCTTCTTTCTCACCTCCACGGGTAAATCAAGGGGCGTGAGATGGTATATTGCAATGGCCGTGAGCACCGCCTTGACGAGGACAATATGACCAGGGGTGGCCATGTGCTTGGCCGCCCATGGCGGGAGCTTGCCGGCGACCTTGTTCTCTAAATATTGGAAATGTATCCTTTTGAGTCTTCTAACTGAAAGGGGCAGCCCCAAATATTGCATTGGGAAGCCGGAGCGAACTGCTGGAAAGTCATGTAGAACATCTTGAAGATCGATGCCCTCGCAACAGATAGGCGAACGAGACTCTTTGCACAATTGGTGACCAAGCCGGTGACCTCCCCAAAAGAGGCCAACGTCGACGCCAGGAATTGAATATCACTTTTAATGGGTGCAACGAAGATGGCAGCATCATCGGCGTACAAGGACGCACGGATCGGTCTACCTCTGAGCGGATGCAAGCTCCCTTGGGCCGTGGCTTTGGCAAGTATGTGGTGTAGGGGGTCAATAGCAAGGACAAAGAGGAGCGGCGAGAGCGGGTCCCCTTGTCGAAGGCCTTGTCCATGTCTGATCGGGTCACCGGGAATGCCATTAAGTAGCACACGGGAGGAGGCTGTGGAGAGGAGCGTCGAAACCCAATCACGGAAGTGGCTTGGGAAGCCCAGGTGTCGGAGCAAATCCATCAAATAGTCCCATCTGACCGAATCGAAGGCCTTCTTGATATCGAGCTTGAGAAGGAGGGTAGGGGATTTCGTACGGTCAAAGCGTCTGGCCAAGTTTCTGACATACATAAAGTTGTCGTGGATGCTTCTCTTTTTGATAAAAGCACTTTGTGCATTGGAGACTAGGTTGGGCATGTGAGGGGCTAAGCGGGAGGCCATTATTTTAGCGATGATTTTGGTGACCGCATGAATGAGGCTAATTGGTCTGAAATTCGAAATGTCCTCGGCGCCGTCTTTTTTCGGGATAAGGGCGATGTTCGCTAAGTTGAGCCAGGTGAAGCTAGAGGCGCACAGGTTGGAGAAGCCATTGACAACAGCCATCAGATCCCGCTTGATGATGTCCCAACATTCCTTGAAAAAAATACCGGTGAAGTCATCCGGTCCCGGTGCCTTGTCACTTGGTAAGGAGAAAATAGCCGCTTTAGTTTCCTCTTCAATGAATGGTAGGTCCAGATCCGTAAGATCACATGGCTGGGTTTGAATGGCCTCCCAGTTGAAATCTTTTGACCGTGCCGGCCCCTTACGAATGACCGTGGAGAAGTGCTCATGGACAATGGCTTTCTTGTCATCATGATTGGTAACCCATCCTTGGTTGTGCCGGAGACGATGGATAAAGTTTTTCCGTCTCTGCCGATTGATTCGGAGATGGAAAAAACGCGTATTGGCATCCCCCTCTTTAAGCAAGGTTATCCTTGAGGATTGCTTTTTTCTAGCTCGCTCTAGGACAGCCAGAGCGACAACCTTCCGCTTGAGTTGTTTCCTTAGATCTTGCTCGTTGTTGCTCAAGGTCCGAATTTCTTGTGCCATGTCCAAGCGCAGGATGACCTCGAGAGCCATGTGGAGTTGGACTTTATGGCGAGAGAAAAGCTTCCTGCTCCAGCACCTCAATCTCTGACTAGCTGTCTTCAACTTGTGGAAAAGAATTTGGCATGGGTCATGGTGGCTCACCCTTTCGTTCCATGCATCAGCAACAACTTTCTTGAAGTTTGGCATGTTTGTCCAGAAATTTTTGAACCTAAAGGATTTTGGCCTTGAGGGTCCCTCGTCGCTAGCAAGGAGAAGGGGGCAATGGTCGGAGAGCGAGGATGACAACGCGTGCAGGATGTGGGAGCCAAAATGGATGTCCCAATCTTCATTACAAAAAAAGCTATCCAGCTTGCTCATAGTGGGATTATGCTGCTCATTGCTCCATGTAAACTTTCTATTTTGTAGGTGGATCTCCTTGAGCTCACAAGAATTGAGTGCATTACGAAAGCGAACAATACGACTCCGGTCCATATTTGCTTTGTTTTTGTCGCGGGCGCGGTAGATTTGGTTGAAATCTCCAGTGATCAGCCACCTAACTCCATCGAGGGGCTTCTGGCTAATCATCTCCTGAAAAAAGGAGTCCTTCAGATTGCTTCTTGTATGGTTAGCCATGAATGACAACAACCTATGTATTCTCAGTTGGAATGTTAGAGGCCTCAATTGTCCTGCACGACGAGCGACTGTTCATGAAACCATTGCCTCGACCCCCTGCAACATTGTTTGTCTGCAAGAAACCAAGCTGGCCAATATTGATCAATCCGCTGCAGCCTTCCTTGGAGGACATCGTCTAAAATCTTTTGCTGAGCGCCCGGCTGACGGCACCCGGGGAGGAATCCTCCTTCTCTGGAACGAGGATGTGGTCAAGATTGAGCAGGTCAATTTGGGGACTTTCTTCCTTTCAGCCATGGTGACCATAGTCGAATCCAGTAACTGTAAAACTAGCTCCAGTTTGTGCCGTACAAATGAGCAAAGGAGACAAATGTCACCTGATTTGACATGAACGTGTAGATCGCATCCAAGAAATTGATATTGTATACTGTTCTTAAAATATAAGTCCCTTTAGCTAAAATGTACCGAGAATTGTTAAATTAGTGTTGATTTCTCTGTTCTGCAGCAACATGGAAGGACAAACTAATGAGGCTGAGATCTAAGCGGAAGAACTGGGCCTGAAAGGTTCTTAACTCGGTACTCTATTTGTATCATATTGTCGTCCCTTTGTAGACCTGTGATTACCCCCCGCCCCGCAATAGACTGGTCACTTTGGACTGTGTAAATAAAAAAGTGTCCTCAACCTCACTATGCAATGGAGATGATTGGTCCGTATGGTTTGATGTAATTAGACGTATATATTCCAAGGCCCTGAGAAGTAGCTTCTGTAAATTCAGACTAATATTCAGAAAGTAAGAACTAATCTATGTAAGTTCCATCCTATTTATGCATGTTGGCGCCAATGGTCATCTGGGCCCTCATTGAATCTTGTGTTTCGATAAAAAAAAGGGTACTATATTGCTGGGACTGTATTTTCATATTTAATACAACTTTTAAACTAAATTATTATGTCTGTCATTCTTAAATATTGATGATTCTAAGGTAATGGGTTGCAATTGGTATGTAAAATATCATTGAACCCCTAGGTTTCATAATATATTTGTGGGAGATACTACTATATGCAAGGCATGGGTCGGGAGTATGATACGCAAGACATGACAGCAAGGTCTCTTAGAGATCCTAAACCTCAGATTTCGGGAGTCCCACTCCCAGCAGAGTTGCTAAAACTGTGTTCGCACACAAACACGCTACCATGTGCCCCAGGGGTACACATGACACGTGGCCAAAGGAGCCTCAACCAATTGTTGAGTGATAAAATGACATATGGTTGCAGGAGCCTTGTCAGGAGCGTGATATGTAAAACACATCGACAAGGTTTACTAGAGGCATCCCTCTCATAAGCATAGCATAGGTGGGCAATTGACAGAATTGCACATAGTTATGATTATGATTCTTGATGGCATGACTCGTATAGGCATTATGTACTATCCAATACGTATCTCAAATTATTAAATTCATGACAAGATTGCTTTCCAGCATGCATCTCAAAGTATTAAATTCATGACAAATAGATAATGCTTTAAGTAAGATGACATAATATAGACAATGTAAGACCAAGCAATATGTTCAAACCCCGTCGTTTCATTTTTAGTAGCAACAATACAATGCGTGCCTTGCAACTCCTCCTATCATAGAGTAAAGGACACTATAAGATTGAGCCCATTACTATGCACCACTCTCTCTGAAGATCTAATCATCTAATTGGCCAAAGAAGACTCATAGATCGGAAAGCATACATAGCTATTAAATCACACATAATAGATCTCAAAAAGCTTCAAATAGTTTCAATGAATAATCGGATCATAAACCCACAAGTCATCGGATCCCAACATGGACACCGTGAGAATTACATCGAACAGTTCTCCAAAGAGATCGGTGTATTGAAGATCAGAGAGAGAGAAAGAGAGGGAGAGAGAAATAGAGAGAGAAAGAGAAAGAGAGAGAGAGAGAAAGCCATCTAGCTACTACTATGGACCCGTAGGTCCTGCTCACTCATCATCATGGAGGCAGCAAGGTCGGTGAAGATTGCCTCCCAAATGGGTTCCCCCTCCGGCAGAGGATCAAAAAAGGCCTCTAGATAGGATCGCGAAAGCATATAGGCTTGCGACGATGAAAAAATTGTTCCAAGTCTCGCTCTGTTTTTTTGATTATTTGTGAATTTATAGGCTTGGAATTAAGGCAAATGGAGCCACGGTGGGCCCACAAGCTCACATGGCGCGCCCCCAGGAGCGCATCGCCTGAGCTTGTGGCCCCCCTTGATCATTGTCTGGTGCCTCCCCGAAGCTTCTAGGGTCATTCCTGGTCTAGAAAAATTCTCCGTAAAGTTTCATCGTGTTTGGAGTTCGTTTGGTACTCCCTCCATTTTTATATACAAAATCACAAACTCAGATTACAGATACTAATGTAAAATTTAATGCTTGCGTTGCAATTCATCTTTTCTTTTTGTTTACTGGGTCATCAATACGTCGCGTGCATGCAAACAAACTGAGTGGGGAAAGTAGTTGACTGTCATTATAACTGCATGCGTGTAAGTATTAAATAGGTTTCTAGTACGAGAAAATATTATTAATTTTTCCTCGATTACAGTTAGTTGCCTTTATAGATGCAAAATGTATATTTCATAGTGACCTTGTATAAGTAAATGGAGGGAGAATGGTTTTTGTGCAAAAACAAAGAAATAGACAAAAAAAAAGAACTGACACTAGGCACTAATTTAATAGGTTAGTCCATCAAAAATAATATAAAATGGCACATAAAACATACAAGAATGATAATATAGCATGAAACAATTAAAAATTATAAATGTGTCGGAGACGTATCACGCAACAACGATGGTCACGTCCGCTCCTCAAAAAAGCATTTGTAACACCTCCTAAATTATGTGTCCTTTAGTTATAGCTTAGAATAAATATTTATATTCATATAATACATAAAAAAACTATTGGTGCAACTACGTGCTAGCCACATTGACACATGTAAAATTCATATATGAGACTAATGAGGTAGCGCTCCATGAGATAATGGGCCCCTGTAATGGTTTGTGCGTGTCAATAAACTTGCTTTGGCAAGCTAGCAATGGCCCATGATGGACAAGTCTAGAGAAACCATGCCATGCAAATAGCATAATCTGTTGGAAGTTGTCGGTTCTATATCCGGCGTATCTCATAGTAGGGGTCCTAAGCTAGGCGTCTTGGAGCGATGGTAACATGGGCACGGGATTTTACCCAAGTTCGGGCCCTCTTGATGAAGGTAAAATCCTACATTCTGCTTTTAATTATATTGATAGTGTGGTATAGGGGACATGTGTCTACCATGAGATTGATCTAATCAATATCCTCCCTTATTGACTAGCCTGGCCTTGGTTTATATAAAACACCAGAGCCCTAGGGTTTAGGAGAGCCCTTGGCTTGGGCACCAAGTCTTGTAGAAACCTCCTTGTATGCGGCGTGGGCTGCCTGAAGTGGCCCATGAGTGAACCGCCATGGGGGTCCTCAGCCCGATCCAGCTGATCGGGAGACGACGTGGTGAGTACCCCCTAGTCCAGGACACCGTCAGTAGCCCCCTGAACCGGTCTTCAACTTGGGGACGCTCCTCAATTTTTCCAAACTGTTCTTCATCTTCGGTTATCGATCTTGAAAACTGGTTCAACAAATCTTTTAATCTTGAGGATCGTCGAAGTGAATCCAAAGAGTTTACACGTCGGGTATCCGAGGAGCCCCTTTAAGTCTTCGGCCTTTAACAATGTCTTATTATTTTTACGCCACACCTCGAGTTTGAAGTTGTTCCCGTGCGGCGGTGTCCTCTTGCATCCGAGGCCCAATGTCGGACTGCATTCGAGGTATCCTTTGTAGCCGAGCACCGACGCCGGACTGTATCCGAGCTCCAACGCCGGACTGTATCCGAGCTCCAACGCCGGACTGTATCCGAGCTCCAACGCTGGACTGTATCCGAGGTGTCATAAATCACCTTGGCTCAAAAAAGTCGAAGGAGTTTAGCCGAGCTTAATGCCAGAAATGCCCTCTATGGAGCCAGCCACTAGCGCTCGAGATTTATGCCGGACTGCTTCCGAGGTGGTGCACCATCCCGACCTCGGGATGATTTTTTGTCAATATTTTTGATTGGTGCCATTTATTCTCTGCCGGGATATATAGCCAGTAGCCCTCAAGGTGTGTATCGGTCTAAAACCCGAGATGCACATGAAGGATGACATAAGACCGTTGATCCCAGTAGCCCCTAGGACTCAGGTTGATTGCAAAATCGGCCTGAGGATCAACTCCTAACTCGGCAGAATACTTCGGGACACAAAAAGCGGTGTGCAAAGTCCTCGAGACTCAGGTTGGTGCGGCCGACCAACCCGAGGATCATAATCTCCTCGAAAACTATATTGCACTTTAAATTTTCTGCATTGGATTGTCGATGCAATAGCCCCCAAGAATTGGGTTGGGCAAAATCACCGACCCTAGGATCATACCTCCTCGGGAACAAGTTCAACTGTTATGTATGTTTTGACAATACCGAAGTGGAGTTCAGCAGGAAAGATGCTGAACTATAGTTTTAGAAAAGAGTTTCACACCGAACACCTCAACCAAGAGAATGTCCCGCTTCCTGAAAATAGGTGAAAGATGTTATCAGCTCAAACAAAGGCCAACAAACATGCGTAAAAACTTTACGTCTAGATTGAATCAAGCTGTCTTGGTGCCAAAATGAAATTGGTCTTGAAATTGTACTTTCGTCGTGCTTTGACATGACACATCTGATCTCTAGACTTCAAGTGGGTCAGCCTTCGGCTTCAACCTCCCTATCCCGAAGGCGGAGTGTTTATCAGGCCAGTTTAGCGAACTAAATGCGAGCGGTTTTAGAGAGGAACCAGGCTACCCGACTATTGATCATACACCTGAGTCGAGAAAGGAGTGGTAGAAAAAGACTGTGCAACGACTAAGAAGAAAACATCTATTATATAATGGCTCATACTAATTTAAGAGCCCCCAAGTGACTTGGGTAAAAAAAAATATGTATAATGATTGTATGTACCGAAGTACTTATATCATATCTTTGTTCACCCAAACTTTAAACGCGTCTTAACCGACCGTCGGCTTCTCCCTCTTCGGCCAAGGGCCAAAAAGTGTTATGTACTCCACCTGTTGAGAATATCGACGGTGTTTTCGATAACCAGGCAATCATGCCATAAGGCTGTAACAGACAAAGCGCGCTCAGGGAACTTTCTACATTACTGACGAAGTGTAAGAAGCATCTTCGCAGAAAATAGTACCCCCACCGATACCTTTTTTTCGGTTGCTCATTGTTACTATGAGACTTGTGCAATAGATTTTTTGTACTCATGAGTTCCGTTGTATGCCGACCATGATTGAAAACAATAAAAGTGCTAGCTTTCGGCTTCACCCAGTCTGAGGTCCGAGCTCGGATGACCCGATCGTGACAATCGCAGAGGTGCTTTCTTTACTCCCTAACCGAACAATCGGGAACATAGGGATAAACATAGGAGCAAGGCAACACAGCTTGCGGAACACTTAAGTCAACATGGTGCATATTGTGGCGTAATA